CTACCGGTTCTGTGGGCGTGGCTTGGTGGGCGTGGCTGGGGGGGTCATGTGACTGGGGGGTTTTTAACAGGAAAAATCAAAACTATAACAATTAATTGCACATTTATTCAAAATCCAATTTAAAAACCTTTTTAGTTAATGTTAATTCAACAAAATTGTTGAAGTGATACCAGGTTTTCAAAGTCTGATAGTCATTTATCAAGAACCTTAGTAACTAGTAACTAGTAACTTAGTAAACTCAGTAAAATTTAGTAACTACTTCACTGTTCAGTAAATTCTTAATGTGATGGATGGGTTTGATGAAGTGATACCAGTTTCCCAATGTCTGGTTTAAAGTCACTTAGCAGAGTGCAATGTTTCCCAACCTTGGCAACTTGAAAATGTCTGGACTTCAACTCCCAGAATTCCCCAGCCAGGGAATACTGGCTGGGGAATTCTGGGAGTTGAAGCCCAGACATCTTCAAGTTGCCAAGGTTGAGAGACACTGCTCTAAAAGCATCTGAACTGTTTTCTCCTCCTCTCCTTTTATGGTATCAGAGGAGCCTTTTCAGTGGCATTAACTCCTGGCTCTAGTTTCCAGTAGCTTTGAGTGATGGTTTGTCTTAAAAGACACTTAAAAAGAGCAGCCTGTTTCCTACCAGTTTGCCCCTGGAGTTCATGCAAAACTTGCTTCGTCGTCGCCCACGTCGAAATTCCCTTTGGCCATTGCCCCGCTTCCCCCTTCCCACCCAAGAAACACTAACCACCACCCCTTTTTTCTGTTACCGGAGGATTTTAGTTGCCACATGCACACATGGGGATCCCCGGTCCTGGAATCGCCCTTTGTGCGCCCACAGAAAAGAGGGCTCCCTGCCTGTGGAACGCAATACTGCCATCCTTGGTGCACAGTGCACGGATCGGTGGAGCATGCATTGACTAACTGGCTACCCCAAGGAATGTGCAGTATGCAAGATGCCAGAAGTAACCATTTGACGGGACGAGGAGGGGGGAGTACAGGAGTGGCCCATATCTGCGGTGGACTCAGGGAGCATGCATGTTCTGAGTCATGGCACTCGGTCTGGAGAGGGGGGAGGAAAAAAGCCTGAGCGGTGTGTGCCTAGCTGCCATGTGGGAGCAGCTCGGTGTCTTCCGATTTAGTTGTTTTGACTCCCTCCCCTTCTCTGCTCGATTGCGCACTCTCTGTATGTTTTTCCTCTCTCTCTCTCTTTTGCTGGGTGGTGGTTGAGGCCGCTGGTAGTTAGGATCAATTCTGCTGTTGCTTAAGTTGCTGCAGCGGACAGCAGCAGCAGTGAGAGGCAGCAGTTATAGTATCAAGTAGATCAACGAAGAAGGGGAATTTATGGCAGGCTGGCCAGCTGAAGCTGCAGGCTCAGCGCAGCTCCTTTTCTGCCACCTGCTGCCCCCTTGCCTCTTAGCGCCCTCCTGCTGTCCTCCTTGTCTTTAAGCGCCCCCCCCCAAGTCATCCCACCACCACCTGGGTGCGGTTCCGCCCACTTTGGGAACCACTGATTTAGACCACAGTTTTTTTTTTTAACTATAGTACATCTGGATTCATCCACCAAGGCAAATTCATTTAGGTTAGGGTTTAGGGTAATATTTATTATAATATTACAACACAGCAAGTTGTTCAGTGACTCTTTATTTTATGAATAAAATAATAATGACTATACAATATTTGTAGTACCTTTAAAATTGCCCACAATGCACATAGAAATGACTAGTCAATCCTTCTATCTGGAAGTCTATTCATGGGAATTAAATTATATGGATTTTGATTATAAACTCTATCAAGACAATAATATGAATGAAACAGTGTTAAGTGAAAAATAACTGCATATGCATTACAGTTGCTAAGACTGTTGTTACTAATGGTGTTAGGGAAGTGTAAATTGTTTTTTTTAAACATAATGTAGTATCATAAATTCTGATATGAAGTGATAAATCCCAGCTTCCCAAATAAGAGCTTATTATATCATGGGGAAGAATATATAGCATCCTTTTTTTTAAAAATCTTGCATCTCGGTTCTTATGTAGCTCTTATAAAATATCTTAAAAATGGATATTATTTGGGAAAATGTGTTTATGTTACATGCTTCAAGGTAAGTTAAAGCAAGTGGGGGGACATACTGTAAGAAGAAGCAAATTAAGAAATACATATTAGTGGATACTTTCACCCTGATTCTTAAAAAAAAATACTCCAGTGAATATTAGAGCAAGTTTACTTTCCATCACTTGAATTCTCCCACACTGTTACAGCAGGGCTCAATGAGAACTATCCATATCCTGGTATCACACAATAACCAAAATATTAGGGATTTTGAGTAAGTAACAACACTCATTCTTGCTATGTTATTAACTTTCTTTCTCTCTCACTGTTGAAGTTGTAGAGATATTAAATCAAGATTTTGGAGTATCATTTCATAATTAAGGAATGGACCTACACTTTCTAAATAATTTCTCTGTACCAGATCTGATCTCTTTGTTTTTCAGACTATATATCACTGGGTTTAACATTGGAGTTAAAATTCTATACTGAATAGAGATCACTTTGTCCAGTTCTACAAGTGATTCTGAACTTGGCTTCATATAGCGAACAAAAGCTGTAATATAAAATAAGCCCACAACAATGAGATGGGAGCTGCAAGTGGAAAAAGCTTTCTTCCTGCCTTCTGCTGATTTAATTTTCAGAATAGTTAAAACAATGTAAATATAAGAGACCAGGGTTATAAGAAATGGACTAACACCAAAAACCATTACAGATAATAGAAGAACAATATAATTCATGAAGGTGTTGGCACAAGATAAAGCCAAGAGGGAAGGAAGTTCACAAGTATAGTGTCTGATTATATTGTTGCCACAAAAATGAAGGTTTTGCAAAGGTACTACATTCACTATAGAATAAAAGAAACCCATCAGCCAAGCTCCACTAAGCATTTTATTACATATTTCTTTTGTCAAGTATCTGCTATAATGCAAGGGGTCACATATAGCTACATATCTGTCATAACCCATTGCTGAGAGGATGAAGACTTCAGTGCAAGCAATTTGGAAAAAGAAGGCAATCTGTGCAATGCATCCTTCCCAAGAAATGGTTTTCTGTTTTGTAATAAAATTTGCTAGCATCTTGGGAACAGTGACTGAGGAATAGCAGATGTCAACAAAAGCTAAATGGCTGAGAAAGAAGAACATGGG